GTAACAGCACTTTTCAGCTTTATGAAATGTTTACATTTGCAGAAGAAAGTGACATCTCTCATATATTGTGTCATTCTTTTTAATATAAGTTGTCAGAGTTCATTAGAGTATTTATAGCAGGTTATTTCTGTATGAGAACTTAAATTGCTTTAATACAATTAACATTTAAATCTGAAAGCATCGTGACAATAAAACCAAGACCTAAACAGCATGTTTACACAAAACCATTTTAACTGTGAGATACTGAATCAAACCAAGATCAGACAATGGTAATATTCAGGCATCAGGATAGTGCCTATTATATAACCTATTATAATAGTGCCTATTTTATAAACAAGGCAAAACATTTACAGTTAGTAAGCCTTAGATTTTCTAAATATTTTGGAAGGTATGCCATTTCCAAAAGAAAAAAAATGCAAGTTCTTAATGCTTAAAATATCAATCTGTTCACTAAAATCTATGCTTTCATGTATTGGTGCAATAAAAAATTTTATAATATATTTCTCCTGGCTATCTCAATGGGATCTTCTATAAAACTAAATTACATCAAAAACTTGCCAAGTAGCATTTTGTTGGCATTTACAAGTCAAAGCAGTAGCAGGAAGTCCAAAAGGAGAACTGAGAAAACATAGAAAAGGCAGCACTGAGTTTGGTACTCTGCGAGCCTTTGGTTCTCCATAACCACAGTTAGTTTTTGAGTTTCTTGGGATAGCTTCCTAGAACCATGAAAAACTGAGGAAGCTTTGAACATCGCACTGAGAAAATAAAGAGTAAGCAATAATTTATCTGCCTACTGTTACATCTTATTGGTTAATATGTGACTGTTGGATCTTGACTTCACTGCTCGTAGGAAATAAATGAGTGTCAGATCTGTTCACCTACTCATTAGAAAACTAGAAATTTCCCCAGTCCAGTGCAGTCGAAACGCAGATGCGAGCATCTCTCCTTGACCACTAGTGCCTAAAGGGTGTACCTTCCCTCATTTGTCTCAAAGTAGACTGCCTGTATTTGCTGTCTGGCCACTACAAAGCGCATTTTTCTAGAGATTGAGGAAGAGATTGTGAGGTTCTTATTATCACCTACCTTAAGGAGTTGCATGCGATTGCATAATTTCATACCAGTGTTCAAAGTAAGTTATAAAGCTTGTCCATGATTAAAGACAAATGGCAAAATAAAAATCTAAACACCAGGAGGTTTGATTTGTGGGAGACTCAAGATAAACATCTGCATTTTTGTATGAAGTTTAAGTCCTCTCTAAATAAGTACTAGCCTGAATATGTAGCGTAGTCTGAATATATATTCCAAGAAGTCTCACCTTTTTCTACAAAGAACTACACTTCTCTTCATGAATACTCTGAATATCTTTTATGTTAGTTATATAATACCAATTATCTACATATATCCTAATAACTATGCATATAATATATACAATTATAGAGATGTACATAGACTTAATTGTATATTCTATATACTCTCCAACATCTTGTGTTTTATTCATAAATTATTAAATAGAGAGAACTTTCTTTTCATAAACTCATGAGTAGATAATACTAATCTTATGGTTATTATTGTAAAATATCCTCTTCCCACAATGCCACAGTTATAGTTAGTTTCATTCTGCCATTTATCAAAACATCCTTCTTCTTTCTAAAAAGAAGTACAAGCTGAAGTTGCGTATACATTATCTGAGTAAAATTTTATAGGATTGTAGGACTAGATATTAATATTTTGAGGGAAACCTCAGAAAGATCAAATAATTTGCCTCAAATGAGTTAAACAGTTCATCTACAAATTGCTACTGCTGGCTACTAAACTCTATTCTGGTTAGTTGCAAATTTCATGGATTTTCACTGATCACATGATTTTCTTTAATTCCAGCAATGTAAATATACATAGGGAAGCCCAATGTTGCATTTGTTCCATGGGCCAGTCATGTCATGGGAATATAGTTTTAATATTTAAATTTCTGTGAAAGACATTGGGTTTATACTTAGGAAAAGTACATTTTGGTAATTCTATATTTCTCAAGTTGCTGATTACAATTATTATTACATTGCTTTGTTTTGTATAAGGCATAATTTAATCCTATACCTAGATTTTAAAATCTTATGAGGCAGATGTTATTTGCATAGTTTCGTAGTCTAACTTGTATTCCCCTGGCCATTTTCTACCCTAGTAGCTATTTATTCATTTCTATTGTCAAAACAAATTTATCTCTTCATCAAGTTATTCAGCAAAAATGTTTGTCACTAATCATTTAGTGACACTGCATCTAGTTACAGAAAAATTATTATTCCTATTAACCATTTTCAAAGAAACAATTCTCGAATAGTTATAAGTAGGGAAAGGTCCTGGGGAAAACTACAATTATAAGCAGCTGCAGCATGAATTACATGTAATTATACTTAATTCCTATAAATAATTATTTCTGTAAATTTCCATTCCAGAAGGATTTATTGCTTAGTAACAAAGGGTATTATGAATATATATATTTCTACATTTATGTAAATAAAATTATGAAAAAAGTACAAAAAGATAGAAAAAAGTATCAAACAAGAAAACAATTCCATTTGTAGGCACATTTCCTGTAAGTTAGAGAAAGATAAGTTTCATCTGAATTTCAGTATTATATTATGTCATATTTTCCCTTTACTATGTCTACAGACTAAGACGAAATGAAATATTGCTACTGTCCACCAGAGACAGAGAGAAAGAGGGAAGCAGGAAGGGATACAGGGAGGGATACATATCTAGTCCTTCATTACTATAAAATTTTATAAGGGAGAGAGAGAGAGAGAAATTACGTACTAAGTTCTGTAGTAATTGTCCACAAAAACTCATAATTCTATTTCAGCACATAAGCATGTAATGACAGATGGCATCTGATGTGTCACCAAGGCACTGTTGAATACATTAATATGACTCAATTTTGCTGTTGTTTAGAGGAGATGACTGCTGCGCATAGAGCATTCCTGTTCTATTAATAATTTTTGCTGTTACTTTTCCAATGCAATGTATATTTTATCCTATCAAATATGGGCAAATATATGCATTACTTGTAATTTATAGCCTCAAAAAATTGACAAGAGAAGAATTGGCATATTGTTCAAATCAATATAACATAGTAATATGAATTCTTTGATTTCAAAATGGCAACGTAAAATGCAAAAAAAAATAGTAGATACTAAATGACTGCTTAAAATTGAAAGAGTGTCTCTTCTTCTGAATTATAACACAAAATTAGGAGGACAGGTTATGATTTTCAACTCTGTTCTTACAATGAGAGTTCATCTTTTTCTGAATTATAGCCTTGTTTCCCACACAGCATCTACTCACTATGCTTTGCATGGCTACTACATTAATCTAATGTGGAATAATTTGGATTGCTTAGAGAAAGGCTGATATGCATATCTTTGTTTGGCATTCAACATTTTAAAAATCCTGCACTCTTAGTTGTGACACAAATCCCAGATTTTTTTCAAAACATGAGCCATTTTGATTGCTCAATTTTTAACTGAAAGTTATATTTCAACATTAATTTATAATGAATGTGAGAACACCTAACAGGTAATTTCCAAATAATATCATTTTCATTTTATGCATAAAATTTTGCAGATACACTAACTGTATATGGAAAACATACATAGAAATATTCAAGCACAAAGTAGCTCATACCTTTAAGACCTATTTTGCATATATATATATATATATATATATATATATTAAAATAATCTACCTCTCAAAATGTTAAGAAAAACAATATGGCTCTGAAGCACTTTAATACAATTTTGTCTAATTTCTATAAAAGCTCTGTGGGGTTTTGCACATCAAGATATCTCTTTCTGAAAATGTTTATGAAAATAGGTCATTATGTGTATTACTAACAGAGAACAATTTGTTATGTTTAAACACAGATTTTTTTATTAATAGTTGCTAATAAACACCAAGGTGCCAAGCATCCTAAATATAAGCACTGCATATGTTTCTACTATATTAGTGAAATACTTCTTATCCAAACAGAGTATTCATCCAACCTAATTAGAAAAGATATTTACCAAAGAAGTGAAGCATTTAATATAGATTTCTGTTAATAGGAGATGGTTCAAGATATGTCAGAATCTGTAAAACACCACATTGAACATTGGGCTGAAAAACACCAACAAAATCACTGAAATAATGTCTTCTAAATCTTTGCCACGTGTTATACAATAAAATATAAATGTAGTTTCGTTTTAAAACACATGATTCTTGCTAGCCTGGCTTCAATGTCAGCAAAAGTGAAAGCAATGTAAAACATCCATCCAATTATTTCGGTTAATATACAAGCATTAGGCATTCACATTGCTAATTAAGAGACAACGTGTCCTGTCAGGCATTGCATGGGTTATTGAACATTGCTTAGATTGTTCCATAATTATCCCAGCTTAATAGTTCTAAAAAAGTAAGCAAAGTGCATTCATTTTAGGAAAGCATAGCTTATCACATAAGAAGAGCAAGGTACGGGACTCTGTATTCGTGCTGGAATTTTTATGGGAACATAAATAACTCTTAAAAATAGGGTAACAAAAAATAGTGCAACAGCAAGACACCAGTGAAAGTTGTTCAAAAATTCTTTATTGAAAAGAATTCATATCCTGTAAGCAGTAATAATGGTACATTTGTAGAATTTGAGTTTGACTTACCTTCTTACGCTACCACTTACATGTCTTTGAATACTTAGCTGAGTTTAACGACGTACATCAACTTTTATAATACATAATACAAATAAGCAAGTGGGGAACCTTCTCTTTTAACTTAGGTTTTTATAAGTATCATATAATGCTTGCATTAATGTATAGATTACCATGTGATGTTTCATTGTGCCTAAGCATTATGAAATGATCAAATGAGATAATTAGATATAGATGATATATGAGCTCTAATTAAGAATTGTAGTCATTTTACTTTGCAATAGAAAACCAAAACTTATTCCCCTTACAGACATTGATCTTTGTACTCACCGAGCTGTCTCTCTTCCTCCATCCCATACCTCACATGGCTCCACCCTCTGCTGATGCTACTCTATTCTCAATTTCTTTGAGACTGGATTTCTTTAGTTGTCATACATGAACGACATACGCTGTTTATCTTTCTGTTTCCAGTTCATTTCACTTGTTAAGATGACACCCTCTAGGTCCACCCATCTTCCTAGAGATTGTAAGACTCTATCTTATTTATGGCTCATATGCTGAATTTTATGTATTAAAATATAACCTGACAATAGGTATTTATATCTCAGTAAAAATAATCTGATCATCAAATTACAACAATGATATTTTAATCCATTTTCTGTTAACTCAAATTTCTGAGCATGTAGAATATGATTGGAATCCTTTTCAATCATATTTCAATTGGATTAAAGAATAAGGTAACATGAGATGCATTTGTCATATTTTATTATCTAGTTTAAATACTTTACTTCATAAATTATAGAGACTAAATTTAAGAATTCAGATATCTCTGTTTCAATTTATTATGAAAATAAAGATAATTATTTAAGTTGTTAAAGACAAAGTTAGTTAATATTATTGAATATTGAAGAGTTGAACAATACATACGTGGTGAGTTAGAGTATCCAAATAGGAAAGGTTTCTGAAGTGTAAGTGCATGCGTTTATCAATATCATCAATAACATATATTTTACATGAATGTAACTGACAAGGATGTATTTAAGGCAAATATGTACAATACTGATTTTTAAATGAAGGAATTTAAAAACAGCAGACATGTACAATTAAGGAAAATAGTATAAAAAACTGAGAAAATGTAGAAAAGAGGGGAGACAATGTGAAAGAGGGAGAGAGAGAGAAAACAAATTTTTAACAGGAAAAGGTCAAAGGTGATTCTGTGCAGTGATGCTGAAAGGCCCATTAACAGTAATATATCATCTAAAAATTCTTTAGACTATAATTTATGATTTCATGGTTTGAAAAAAGGGAAAGTTTATAGCACATAACTTGACATATTATTGGATAAATTTAAATACAGTTGTTAAATTTATCGATCATAAATCTTCCTGATAAAGTTTTTATTTCCTTTTCCCTCAAATATCTTCCTGTATATGTGCTTGTCTGATTCAAAGTTATCTTTGAATCAATCTGTAAATTCTTACTATTACCACTATAATTATCCAAATAAAAATTTAAAAATCAAGTTCTGTAATTCTCAAGCTGCACAAATTCAGCTGTAATGTAAATATATTTCCAGTCTTCAAGATTGTCTTCCAGTTGCCCTGAGAGAAAAGCAGAGGGAGAAAATTCCTAGAGGAGACCCAAGAGGCAGAATATGAGAGAGGAAGCCACCATCTGAAAAACTATGAAGACCATCGAATTCTAACAATTAGGCCATACCTGCAGACGCATGTGCTACAGAATATCTTGAACACCTTAGAGGAACCCCAAATCAATTTTATTGTGTCTTTGATACCAGCTTCATGATCTTTGGATGCTGTCGCAACTCCCCAAAGGTCCATATAAGTACTGAAAGAACCATCTCCAACACAAAGAAGGGGGAGTGCCCTTGATTGGGGTACCTGACTGTACCAGTTCAAAGAGTTCCTACACTATGCATTCCTGGCTTCTTCAGAGGCATGAACTCTGTTCACTGGCCTGCTCCCAGCCTGTGGAATAAGCTGGTCTTTTCTGATGAGCTATGCTTTAATTTCTACTTCCTGATCCATTCTTTGTTCATGGTACTGTTTGACCCTCCACAAGTCTCTCCTTTATTACGAGGTTCTACGATTAAAACGTGGGTCCTTAGTTTTCAAAGAAACTTGAGAAATAGTGAAAAGCAAATTTGAATTCCTTGCTAAATTTACTCAAACACCTGGAAACAGCAAACAAACATGGGCTCTTACATAATTATTTTATTTTAATACTCAGCCATCTATAATCTTAGAAATTATCCAAAGGGCACACAGTCAGTGAAGAAATCCATTCACAGGAAAATTAATTAAATCTTAGTAAGTATAGCAAGAGTCTGTGGTATTTAAATCATAACCTCCCCTAATTTCAGTGTTTAGGTGCTCAAATATAATTAGGTCAAGAATAGAAAATAAAGGTTCTTTTTTTAAATCCTAATCATAGGATGTGATGTGTTAATTTACTATTAACATTTATAATACCCTAGTTCCAGTCTCCAAAAACCAAATGCAGCCAACAAATTGGGTCTCATTTCATACAACTAAACTTAACTAATTCATGGGACAGACACTAAATTTTGTGCATGCCAGGCAAAAATACAGGGATCCTTATCACTCTTGCACAAGGTCACACAACGGGCAGAGATCCCAGTCCGGGAGAAGTAAATTGAGAGAATAAAAGATTATTTTCTCCAATTTCTTCCGAGGTTTAATTATGAAGGGATGTTGAACTTTAACAAACTCATTTTTCCACATTTATTCTGGTGATCATAAAGTTAGTGTCCTTCATTCTGGTGGGCATATTACATTGATTGACTTATGTACATTAGACATGCTTGAATCCCTGGAAAAAACAGTTGAACATGGTGAATCGCCTTTTTAATTTGTTATTAGATTCATTTTTGCAAGCATGGTGCTGAAGATTTAGTTGTTCAGCATAACTTATGTTTATCTTTTATATTTCTGTGATATCAGTTGTATAGTCCCCTTTTTCATCTTTTATTTTATTTATCTTTTCTTCCATAGTCTAGCAAAGAGTTTTTCAAATTTGTTTATCTTTTTATAGTACAGAATAATGATAATGAAATCATATCTTACGGAGTGGGAGAAAATATTTTCAAACTACATTGACAAGAGGATAATATACAAAGAACAAAAATAAAACAAACAAAATAGCAATCACAAAGCAGCAAAAAAAATGGACCAAATTTAAAAATGAACACTATTCCTAGACATTTCTCAAGTGAAAACATACTACAACAGATTTATGTTTAAATGATTCATATCTCTAATCATTAGAGAAATGCTAATCAGAACATGTTTTTAAAATCATTTAGATAAGAATGGCTAATATAAAAAATACTAGAGATAACAAGTGATGGTGAGGATGTAGAGAAAAAGAAACTCTATCCCAAGTGGTATGAAAGCCAATTAGGGCAGTTTTGAGGAAAAACATGAAGAGTCCCCAAAACATTAAATATATATATCTACCCTTTGATCCGGAAATCCTACTATTCTCTGTATACAGACAATGAAACCACAATGGAGAAGGAATATTTACACTCCCATGTTCATTGTGACGCTGGTAGCAATTGCCAAGAAATGGAAAGAACTCCTCTACTGATACACAGATAAAGAAAATGTTAGACTGATGTCCAGTGGGTACCGTTCTATGCATAAAAGTGGAATAAAATCTTGTCACTCGCAACATCACCTGTGGGTAGAAGATCGTTATAGAAGTGAAATAAGCCAAGCACAGAAAGACAAGGACCACGACACTCAAATGCGGGGTCTCAAAAAGTAGCTGTTGTAGAAGCTGACGGTAGAATGCTTGTTATTCAAAGCTGGGAAGAGTAAGGGTAAAGATGTGCTTTGCCCCATGTGAGTGACTATAGATAATACTTACGTATTACATATTTCAAAAAACAACAACAAAAATGATTTTGACTATTTTCAACTAAAGAAGTGATGAATGATTAAGGAGACAGATACTTTTAACCCAGTTTATACGTTATAAAACTTATACAGGTATTGAAACTTTACATGTTCTCCTTACCATGGACAGTACTTTCTTTTTTTTTACTATCAGATATTGAACTCATTATTGGGTCTAAACACTGAGATACTTTCTCAGCCCTTTTCATTTTTTAAATTGTCTTAAAATTTTGAGACAGGGTTTTGCTGGGTCATTAAGTTGCCCAAGCTGGGGTTCAAACTTTCTGTCCTCCTACCTCAGTCTCCCAAAGTGCTAGGATTCCAGGCATCTGTCATAATGCCTGGGTGATAGGCACATTTTAAATATTTGTATTTATTGATAATTTTTATATATGTAATTTTTAAGTATCAGTTAAAATTACAGTTAAATAAACTTGGAAAGCAAGAATTTGTTCTGTTAATGGGTAAAATTCCTGCAGGAAACAATAAACACTTCAGAAGTACCTTTAGCTTAATTTGCATGTGGAATGTTTACCTGCATTAAAACATGTATATTAAAATATTAACCACATGTTAAAATAGCAAACTTGTTTGTGTTGTCCTTTTTAGACAAATTGAGTCTGAAGTCAGGGATGAAATATGATCCCCAGAGACTATAACTGTAAAAAAAAACAAAACAAAACTAATCTGATGATGATGTGGTTTGCTAAGGCCTTGACTTACCAACAGAGTGCAAACCAAAGCAAATATATCTGAGCTACACGCAAAACCAAATGATATTTCAATGTACCATTATTTGTTTGCCCACTTTCTGTTTCAGTCTAACATTAAGAGTTGGCCCCTCACTAGAAAAAGGACACTATTGATTATTTTCTAAGGCTTTGTATGAGGCGCTTTATGTGTGGCCAGTACTAAAATGCAACCTCAAAGACAGTGTGAAAAAATACAGCCAGGAAGAGGAAGCAAAATGAACTCTAGCACCTGCGAGTGTGAGAAGCCAATACAAAGCAGTGGGTGGTCTGACTTTGCTCTGCCTTGTATATTTAGAAGAAGAAAAAGAATGGTAAAGAAGAATTTATACATTCTGAACACTTAACCTATGCTAATCATTGGACCAGATGATGTATTACTTTGCTGTGTGATCTATGTAATTTGTGAGATCCAGGGTAAAATGAAAATAGTGGGTTTCTATTAAAAATTATGAAGAATTTCAAATGGGCATTAGCAGAACATTAAGCCGGTGACAGGGCCCTTCAACTGCCTAGGTCATGGTCCTTGAGGATCTCTGTGAATTGGCATTGGTACCCTCATGAATGCTATGAAGGAAATGCTGTTTTAATTCATTGCATCTAAAACACTGACCCTTAAAAAGAGCTAACTGGTCTGTGCAAGTTTATACACCCTGTGTAGACAAAGCCAAAATTAGCATAACTAAATCTCTAGCGCTTTTCATTTGATTATGTGGCTCACTCTAAATGCTTATGGAGAACAGTAAGGCGTATGTCAAGTTAA